TGATTATCCTTGTTATGGCTATTATCAGTCATTGTCAGCCATAAATAGATAGATGGTGCATAAATGATTGGAAATATACGTAAATGAATAGATAACCCATATAAAAATCCAGCTGGAATGATCCGACGGTTTAGAATACAACATAGGCATGCTAAAACAACACAACTTTGTAATCCATCTGCATTACCACGAGCAGAGACTACTGATGTAACAGGATTGAATAACCAACTGAAACTAACAAGATATAATGCTAATTGATCTGTATTGAACGAAATGGAACTTCGTCGAATTTTTTTATTTCGATTGACAGTATTTGAATTTGGTAAACTGTTCAGCTAAAAAATGGGGAACAGAAAAATTCATTAGGAGAATATTACTTCAAGTGAATCGATACCTGTTAGCATAACACCATGTTATCAAGTTGCCTATTGGTTCGCGTCCTACATGCACAGATTCAAAGAACGTATATTCAGTCAACAATTTAGCTTTATAATATTACATTTATACTAAACGAACAAATCCTAGTTTACTTAAAGTGAACAACAACAAAAATTATAATCTTCGTTTCACCTTACAGACACACATCAAAATCACTCACGTTAGAATTATGTCGCTTAACGCCATAATTTTTACCTTCTTATTTAGCAGTCTATGTTACAAAAAACCAATAGTTGAATTATGAAACAATCTCTCGATTAAAATATCATACAGTTTAATGCTTTAATCATACAATGATAGCTAAGTTATATTCACTAAAGTTTCTGGAAAAGTTAATAACATTCCTCTTGTAATTGAGGTATGTTATCAATGATGATATTGTTTACCATATTTTACTGACTGGAACGAATCAATAGAAAGCTATAGCTTTAGGCAAAACTTGCTAACCCAAAATAGATGTCATGGGATAAAGTGACCAACGTTTATTGAATGAAACAATATCATTATATTTCATCAATATTCAACCCTTTTTCTTGTCATCTACACTGAAAGATAATTCAATTTTGGGGTCAGGAAAACACAAAGTTGATGTTGGTAATACCTACAGGGATTGAAAAAGATAGAAAGTAAGAAATGGTAGAAGAAGAGGCTTACACTAGGTCGCGAAACGCCAGAAATTCAAATTTCTACTAAGTGGAACATAACAAATAGGTTTATTATTACTACCATTATTATTATTATTATTATTATTATTATTATTATTATTATTATTATTATTAGCAGAAATAACAATAATAATAATAATAATAATAATAATAATAATAATAATAATAATAATAATAATAAGAAGAAGAAGAAGAAGAAGAAGAAGAAGAAGAAGAAGAGGAGGAAGAAAGTACTAGCAGTATAAACGACCCGCGCAATGTTTAATTTGTTGAAAATTGCTAAGTTATCGATTTGACCGAAAGATGCTCGATCTTCGCATTACAAATAACTGACTTAAAATCCATAAAATTAACTTTCTAAAAGAAACATTACAAAAGGACGATTACTATTGTGAAATCGTTAACACTAAGTATTCATTAACTTACAACTGAAAAATCTAAAACACAAAATTCTGTAATACGATAAATTAAACCACCACTAGTTATAAACAACTGTTCACCGATTTCAAACTCAGTGCACAACTTGCATCAGTACAATAGGTAACTTCTACATAACAATTAATATTATTGAGTCGAGCTAATTCTGCGGTGATACAAACACAAACTTATGACATATCGTTGCACTTTTGATAAAGAGATAGACATTATCAACATACAACCTCGGATAGATATGAATTGTATTAGTATGATCAAATAAATATAATAAGATGAACAGCAAAAGAGATCAAAATGATGTAGCACTGATAATAAGAACATGATTTGAAAAAACCAGAGTGGAATGTGTGAAAGAATATTGAAAGTCATGATCTACAAGAAGACAAAATGTGCATGCGTCGGCTCAATTACGAATGTTTCTGAGCCATTCCACTCAGTTTCCAACCACCGACCGCGATTATCGCGTGGACTGCAACCAAACAGCCTGCACCTGTTGACATGGCTCAGAGCAAGTCAATGACTTCGTGGACTAACGCCATTTCTCGGTTTGGTTGCATTCTCTCGTTACGATTATTTTAGAAAATCATGCACTTTCAGATGCTTCTTGCGGACAGCCAATAAATATGACTCAGCATAGGACCAAAAATAAATGTTAAACGGATATGATACCAGAATAAAATAAAGCATAACTTACAAACTGTTTATCTTGAATAATTCTATATTGTATGCAACCACAGATTAAATCAGCCGTGATGAATAATAATTTACCCCAAAGACGAGCGAGAGAAGGAGGAGTTATGTGTTTTGACGATCGGAACTGTGGTTCTACCGATAAGCCAACAAAATCTGAACTAATATTCACTTCTTTTCTATCAGTGTCTGAATATTTACCGTCAGAAAATAACCAGTAACCAGGAGCGAGAACAACAGCAATAAGTGGTGAATATCTATAAGTGGGACGCTCAATATAAATATTTTCCCCAGCGACAAAAGCTTGAGCAGCATCAGAAAACACATCGTAATCCACATCCGTGAATCGTAGTTGGCCGTCCGGCCAACGAACTGTATCCTGCCATACAGAGAAAATAACTAGCACAAGTCTTAGAATTAAGGCTAGTATTAAACATAAATGGTAACAATTATAATTTGCATATATGTTTGTAAATGATGTGTGATATCCAAGAATTAAAGATTTGAATTGAAGATTTCCATTTGAATCCAGTTCGGAAGTACCTGTATCTTCCTTTTTCACTGTTCTGTGACAAAACTGTTCCTCAGAATTATTACACACTTTGGTAGAATCATTATATTTTCTTTGCTTTATTTCAGCAGGACACGTGTTCAAACTAAACCTATCATTCACTTCCTTTTCCTTTACCACCCTCTGACGAATTCGTCCTGGAGAACCATCACATGTTTCAACTGGATAGTCAGGTTTATATTGTTTCAATTCAGTAGAAGCTATATTTGGATCGAATCCCTCCTCTTCGTCACTACCACAAGATGAGTGAATATAATCCTTGATGTCAGCATCACTATCGATGACTAATATATCATCATGTGGTTCACGAACGTTTCCGGCAGACGTATTCATACTATAAAACACAAAATAAGAAAGGTAATAGTGAACCTCCTAGTTACCGTAGAATCAAAGATAAGGTGTATAAATGCATTTACCAAAACTATTTAATAAACCTTTCAAAAGGCCTTGATTAGTTCTTAGGTGAATATTTTGGATTAATGGGCTGAAATCGTTCGAAATCAAAACCTTCCTATTCAAATGTACCTATAACTTTTGAAAAAAAACTTTAAAGAAAGTAAAACCGTATATCCGAAAAGATACAACTCAACTTGAGAATGAGAAACTATTTTCTTAGGATATAAATAAAAAGTAATGAATACGAATGATTAAAACCATGATGACTACACAATAATAGCAAAATAGATAAAGTCCACAATGGAGGTTTTTACAACTCAACGAGACATACCGACTTTAGGACTAAAAATTAGCAGAATATTAAATTTTGTAGAGTATCAGTTAGTATTTTCTTAGGAAGGAATCCCAAGAAACTTAATATCAAAGTATCCTATCGATGTTGACCGCAACACTGGAGTCAAGAAAAAGCTTCAAGATCATAAACAAACAGCTAAAAATAAATCTGCTTTGGCTTTCAAAATCTACGAACTATTTAGTTTAGAAAGAGTGTTGTTGAACTCAACATGACAGTAAAACCATCTAAGCCCTTTTTCTCGTCCTAGCATTGATTTTAAAAACTAAAATCAGCCAATATTACAAAATAGGTTGGTTTTGACTAACACGTTCAATCCTCATTACAGTTTCCAAACTAAGGAATCTGTAATCGTATGCGGATACTAACTTCAATTGAAAGAATTGAACAATCAAACCTGTTTTTACACCTGAGATAATTTTTAACTTCGACCAACTAAATATTTTGCGCTTCGCTTTGCCTTAATCCATGCAATCAGCAATGAGAAACTATGTAGTAATCAGACAGAACAATACAAGTCCTAGTTCCAGAAAAAACACAGTAGCACAATCAACTGCCTTGGTGAAAAATGAAGAGTTTTTATGCTTTTTATACCCCTGATGTTCACATAAAACCTAAAAAAGGGGACACTATTTATCCACACTAAACTGCTTTAGCTGTAAAACTTGATAGGGTTTACTGGATATCCTAATAAATGTTTTATTCGAATTAAGATGATAATGAAGACAGGAAAACCTCATCATATAAGTTACTGAGTGATATGAGTGATTGAAAGCCTCCAATGCCACCCAGTGATGTTGCCCAGCTAGATTAAATAGCGTCCAATTGCTTCACTCATATGTCATCGAGTTTATTGGCAATGAATCTTAACTGATTTATCAATGCTCACATTACCTAAGTTGTAACAAGTTGCCTGAACAAACGCATAATGCAAATAACCGAAGTATTTTATAACACTTTTAGTTGTGGGTAAGTCAATGACGTGAGACTGATGTATGTTGTTCCCTTTTAATTGTTACTTTACTAGTAACAGATATAGAACTACTCTAAGTAAAATGTGAGACCAAACACATTTGATCAAAATGTATGAAAGTAAAGCAACTACTATAGAATAGTTCACCATCTAGATTATCCTTGAACTAAAGATTTAACAGTAATCGTCAGGGCATAAATCAAGAACATAAAATGCTCCAACCAATCATTACAATGTGATATGAGAAAGGAAAACATATTTTTATCCAAATAAATTTATTCTGAACAGTGAACAATACATTTGCTCAATCTAATTTAGTGTTAACTTTCTCATTTAAAAAAAGTATATTAAACAGTTGTATGATAATCAAAAGAAAAACTATTTCACACAACAACTCAATAAAAAAATAGGTCTCTTTTCATACTGAATTGAGATTTGTACAAGTAATAAAAACGCACAAAGTAAAGATGAATAAATGATTCGTAAAAATAGACGGACTTTTTTGTTGAAAACATTGCACGAATAATAAAGGATTTTCCCTGATTAGAATTGGCAATAGTTTAAGATTAGACACATTCAAAAGATTGTCCGATGCATATTTATACTTCTGGAGAAATGAAATAAAAATTTGTAATTTTAACAAACAGTAGTTGATAAAATAAATACATGAATAAATGGTTAATATGTATAAATACTTCTGATAAGGATGAAAACTTTTTTGAAAAATAATTAAATCAGATGTTCCGTCAAGTCAGAAACTAATTTACAGACATGATGAACTTGAAAACAACTGTCTCAAGAACTGCGAACATAGATACTACTAACTTATCGAAAAGACTAACTTCATGATAGCTGACTTCTTAATTAATCAAGTCCCCAAATGCCCTGGTATGTCAGTCAGTCAGTCAGCTACAACGTAGGACCAGGCACATATGTGCATCGGCCCAGGTTGCCATACCTCATTAGCACAACAAGATGAACACCGGATTCATAGGAGTGGTTAGGTCAAAGGTTGCAATAAGGATATAGTATAGGAAGGAAGAATTAGTTCGTAGAAAGAAAGATACGAAGTGATTTTACTCTCTTAGTTTAAGGGAAGACAAAGAGTGTATACACCGACGCCATTGTGATCGATTCTGAGCCATGTCACCAAGAGTCTCCAACCATTGGTTACGAAAGTCACGCGGACCCCAACCAAGTAGTCTGCATCTACCAACATGGCTAAGACTAGAAGTTAGTGACTTCAAGCACTGATGCCACGTTTTGGTTTGGCCGCCCCTAACTTTCTTCCAACCATCCCCTACACCGGTTAGCATTGCACGTCGTGGTAATCGGTGTTCAGGCATACGTAATACGTGGCCCAACCATCTCAGTCGATGAAGATTCATAACCTCATCAACTGATTTACCATCATTCCTTAATACCCTGCGTCTAACCTCACTATTACTTACCCGGTGATCCCAGCAGATGCCAGCAATATTTCTAAGGCATCTGTGGTCAAATACTTGTAGCTTACGGGTGTCTTCTACTCTTAAAGGCCATGTTTCGCTGCCGTAAAGTAAGACAGAACGGACAGCCGCGCAGTATACTCGTCCTTTTATTGATAGACGGATATCTCGCCTCCGCCAAAGGTGACGTAAGTTGGCAAAAGCCAAACGAGCTTTTCGAATCCGTGCCGAGATTTCGTTAGACACCAACCCATTAGGGCTGATCAGACTTCCAAGATAAGTGAAGTTGTCGACGCGTTCGACTACTTCACTCCCTATCCTTAGTTCAGGTGTTGACGCAGACCAGTCCTGAAGCAGCAGTTTGCATTTAGAGGGAGAGAAGCGCATTCCAAACATTCTGGCATTGTTGCTTAGTGCTACCAGAAGACTCTGCATTTTGTCAGCGTCTTCACCAAACAGGACTATGTCATCTGCGTATTCTAAGTCGATAAGTGGACCTCCTGGAAGGAGATCAATACCCGAGAATTCAGTCGACGAGAGTGTTATTTCCATCAATAGGTCTATGATGAAGTTAAACAAAAATGGAGAAAGTGGACAGCCTTGACGGACACCACTTGAAGTTGCAAAAGTAGATGACAGTTCGCCATAAGCCCTGACTCGATTAGTAGTGTTCGAGTAAAGAGCCTTCACAAGGTTTATGTACTTCTGAGGTACGCCTTTCAATGACAGACACTGCCACAGAGTCTCGCGGTCTACCGAGTCAAACGCTGCTTTTAAGTCAAGAAAGACCACCATCGTCGGACGCCGATAGGTATGCCTGTGTTCTAGAACCTGACGAATGGTGAATATGTGGTCGATGCAGCCACGACCAGGTCTAAAGCCAGCTTGGTTCTCTGGAGTTTGTAGTTCACGAGTCTTAGTTAGGCGTCTGATAATTATCGAGGCCAGTATTTTAGATACTATGTTTGTTAAACTAATCCCTCTGTGGTTGTCACAGGATGATTTTGACCCTTTCTTATATATTGGGACGATAAGTGATTGCGACCAGTCAGATGGGATAAAGTCTAATTCCCAGATCTTAGCTAAAATATTGGTCAACCTAATCGCTAAAATTGGACCACCATCCTTAAAGACCTCTGGAGCCAATCCATCTGGACCAGCTGCCGAGAGTGGAATGGTCCCGCCCTCCCTCTTAAAATGCTCTCACACGGCCACGCGTATACAGCCTCTACCAGGGAAGTCCTGGTTTAACCGGCTACATTTAGCTGGTGTTCCGTTAAGCACCGTATGCCATATGGTGGAACAACCTCATGAACTTGAAGCATATTCGAAAGAACTAATGACGGAGTTTTCAACCATTTTCCAGCCTGTATTGGGTCAGTGCACTGCTATGAAAGCAACACTTCGGTTGAAACCTGTCTTCCGTCCAAAGAGACCAGTGCTGTACGCAGCATTATCGAAAGTTGACGAAGAACTTAACCGCCTTCAACTACAGGGAGTTATTACACCTGTTTCTTATTCTGCCTGGGCAGCACCTATTGTGGTTATTAAGAAGGCTAATGGCACAACCCGAATATGCGCACATTTTTCCACACGTCTTAACGCAGCTCTCGAACAGGATCATTACCCACTGCCAGTCCCTGAAGATTTGTTCACAATGCTAAATGGTGGGAAGTTCTTTGCAAAGCTGGATCTAGATTATGCCTATTTACAAGTGGAAGTGGATGAGGAATCCACAGAGCTACTTACCATCAATACTCATCGTGGCTTGTTTCAGTACAATCGCCTACTATTTGGTGTTAAGACAGCTCCATCTATTTTTCAGCAACTAATGGATACCATTCTATCGAGTATCCCGGGGGTCACAACTTATTTCGATGACATCTTAATTGTTGCCACATCGTTAGATCAGCTTCGAGAACGCACGACAGCTGTACTACAACGCGTCAGCGATAACGGATTCCGATTACGCTCAGAAAAATGCCAGCTTTTCTTGAAGTCAGTTAAATACTTGGGATTCATCTTTGATGTGGCAGGTCGCAGACCAGATCCTGAAAACATCCGAGCCATAAAACTGATGCCGACTCCCACTAATACCTCTGAGCTACGATCATTCTTGGGACTAATTAGCTACTACTCAGCTTTTGTTCCGTCGATGCATGACATACGCGCCCCACTAAATTATCTTCTGAATAAGAATAGTATTTGGAACTGGACAAAAGAGTGTGAAGCTGCATTTTGAAAGCTCAAAATCATCATTAGCTCTGAACTATAATTGACGCACTACGACCCATCCATGCTAGTCATTGTGGCTGCAGATGCTTCAGCTTTTGGACTCGATGCTGTCATCTCACACATCTACTCCAGCGGAAAGTACAGTCAAATAGAGAAAGAGGCTCTCGCCCTTGTGTTCGCAGTACGCCGTTTCCACAAATTCTTGTACGGTCGAAGATTTACTCTTATCACTGATCACAAGCCTCTTCTCACAATTTTCGGATCGAAATCTGGTGTTCCAGCCCACTTTGCAAACCGTCTCCAGCGATGGGCTTTGGTACTGTTGGGTTATGATTTTGACATTCAGTACCGGTGCACCCAACAATTTAGTCAGGCAGACGCCCTGTCACGACTTATCAGCGAACACCATACGACCGACGAAGATGTAGTTATTGCCTTCCTAATGACAGAGAGCCACGCGCAATGTTACCTGACATCTGCTGTTCGTGCTTTGCCAGTCTCAGCAGTTGAAATACAATCTACCTCCAGGAACGATTGCATCATTAAGAGAGTGATGAAATACGTCACTAATGGCTGGCCGTCAACTGGACTCGATGGTGACTTGAAGCAGCTTTACCACCGTCGGGACCCATTATGCGTCGTGAATGAGTGCTTGATGTTTGGAGATAGAGTAGTGGCGCCAGAGTCCCTAAGATCAAGGGTGCTAAAGCAGTTCCATACTGGTCATCCTGGTATAAAACGAATGAAATCCATCGCCAAAAGCTATGCTTATTGGCCCCTCAGGGATCAACACATCATGGATTTAGTAGGCAAATGCAAAATTCCAGTCGACTGAAAAGTATATAACATGCATCTTAATAGTAGTAACCAAAACTATGAGATTCTGATAATTTAAAGATCAACAATGTAAACACAAAACAAATATAGACTTACGCATGCCAGGCCAATGGAAATGATTTCCAAAAGTATTAAAGTTTGATGAGTTAATACACTTGAATAACGAGCCATTATCAACTTGTTACATTTTCACTTTTTTTACTATCATTTAAAAATTTGAAGTAATTTTCTAAACCTATTTTATGCATTGACCTGAAAACTATGTGTTTTCTACAGGATTTGACACGACCAATCGCTTCATCAACACTTAAAGATTCTGTATACATGAAATAACAAGTTAATAAGAATGCTGAACGTGTACGACCGGCTTTACAATGAATATACACGCATCCGTTTGATTGTACACAAGAGTTGATAAATGTAATTCCAGCATCAATCTTTTCAAAAATTCATAGAAAACAAAAGAATAACAAAATATAATACAATATGTCATAATTATCAGTACTTTTTTTGAACTACATAAAAAAGTTTTTAAGACTAATACAGTCGGCGAATAAATCAAACGGATGAGTAGAAAAGAAAGGCTATAATATCTAGTTAAAGAAGCAGATAGATAGACTTAAACAACGTGAAACCTAGTACACATTTGTCTCATTCTAAATTGCTACATTTTACACCTGCAAAGTGACAGGTAATCATCATGAAAAAATATAATGAAATGAATAGTATAGCCTGAAACATATCAAACCTTTCTACCTTAAAGGCGCTTGACAGGTGAATTTAGCAAGTACAGTAGGTTCATCATTATGGCTTAAAGGATAAGAGAAATGAAATAAAGAGAAGCAAACAATTTTGTGATGTCGATTACCAACTCTTCATTCAATAGTAAAATATTACGATCTTATATAAAAACTACTTTGTATCATGCGACTCCATCTTTTAATCGACAAGAAATAAAACAATCAACAGAATTAAATATAGTAATCAGCTGTATCTTTTATTTGACGATGAATAAATAATCCATATTTGAGACTGACTAAAAATGTATGTGGCAGAAGTGCATGGATTAAGGTTGACATATTGTTAATAAAAGAGTTAACGAAGAATGAAAATCACTTCTGCATAAAAAATACTTACCTGCTCAAATGTAGGAACTCCCACAAAGTCACGAACTGGTAGAGAGAGATATTTAATGCCTTGATTCACAGCATCTTTTTCTCCTATGACAAATGATTTTACTTCGAATGGTTCCAACATGCTCACTATATGTGTGATATTTTCATCTGCCTGCCATTTATCCCAGGACTTTTTGAGTGGTAAAGCACCCACAATCAAAGAAGGAGAAACACGAGAGTACCATGGGCGCCCACAGCAATAATTTAAAAACAACCCATAGGCAGTACTCACATAAAACCCAACTTCATTCATGAGCTGTAGGACCATAGCAAAATAAGAATGAAAATAAGTATTCAACTGGATAAGAAATAAATATTAAGCACAACAACGCCAACGGATACCTTCTAATTAGGCACGTAGCCAAGATGGAGTTCATTACTCTGAAAAGTGTATCCGTTTATTGACACTGAAAACTACGGTATGAATAATACTTAAAACTTCAGTACTAGGTACAACCGATTTGAATGACGAATATTTGAGGCATCAAAGCTTAAAATGAGTTTGGTGGATAATGGGGTATCGTAAAACGAGTGGTAATACTGTACACACAATCATCATCGCTAATTGGTTACAACGCAATCTATCTTATTCCATATCTAAACTAGTCGGAGCATGTCAAGTGATACATTGACGGCTATACTGAAAGATGAAGTTGACAAAAATAAGCTATAAGCTTCAAAAGACTATTCTATTACTCGACTTGTAACCAATAAATTTCTATGGCTCAACCAAATGACACTTCTGTTGTCCGTACTCCTGACCTTGGGAATGAAATCGCCAAGCAATACAATGATTATACATAAAGTATGATTGAGTGAATGAACAAATTATCCTCGGTCGCTTCCAGAATGATAGAAAACACCACTTATATTATCACTAACACTTTTTAAAAATTTTGTAGTTCAGAATATCAACAACAACAAAACACTGTCAATAAAGATTCAGGAGACTGATGCTGCTTTGGTTATCATTTTGATCAAAACCTGACGTCAGTACGGACCAACACCGATGTCACAGTTCCAGTGGATAAATCTACTTGTAACAACCAAGTCAAGTACTGAAAGCTAGAACCTTATTTATTAAGTAATTTCTAATGTCTTTTATTTTACCTAGAACTGCATAGCATCGCATTTTTATCGATTACCCATAATAGCAAAGATATGGGACAAACTTTTCCTTAAATTTCATCTGATGTTAAAGGACATTCCCGAGAAAGAAAACGATTTTCGCTTATCTCCACATAAATTAGTGTACCATTCAGGAAAGAAAATTATATGTACCTTAGATTTTCAGTTAATTCTGAGCTTTTAAAAAGACTAAATTCAAAAGATATACGTTATTTAGCCATTTTGGAAATCACTTAAAGCAACTGTCAAAATAAATACGTAGCTAAGTTCGAATGGAAGATTCTGTACTCAGTGTATTAATAATAATTGCATCTACTTACTGAGATAGGAGTAGCTCTCATTACGAACATGACAACACTTAAATAATTCATTCATAAAGGTTAAGTATGTATCCATAACCCCCGGATTACAAGAGGATCTACTGTTGCTGTGTTTATATTATTATTAAGGAATAGCCTTATGGTTAGTTTCAAAACAAGCATTCAATATACATTTAAGTAAAAAATGACGAATATTTAAGTTGGATTGTTTATTTATTTTCATACAATTTCTTTTTCTCTAACAACAAAATTAACATCATATGTACATAAAATAACTAAGTACTATCCATTGTTTCTATGTTCATTTTGATACATGCTCGAGCTCGTTGAAGATAATCATTGAGTATGACTTGTTTGTCTTTGCTTAAAGGTTCCAGATTGATGAAAAGCTATAGAAAAGACGGAAAAGTGACAAAACATTTCAAAACAAACATGAAATAATAATGCCTAGCAAACACAGATTAATTGAATTTGAAGTTGTTAATTCAGATTAAAATAAGGCCTGCAATAAAAAACATAATGTCGTTGTCACGGACCCGATGGTACGTGTCGTTTCTTGATGGGGAAATGGATGCTCGCTGCTGAGGAGCCCCATGTTTGGAAGAAGTAATTGTATAGTGCTTCGTGGTATAAACTATGAAGTAGTCATTAGGTTAGTACCTTTACCGGTCACCTCTTATTTCCACATATATTGCATAGGATGAGGTATTTATCATTGATATGAACAGAAAGTTCCCTTGGTTCAAAATACAGAACCACTTGATTTCTCTAGCCTAAATCTCTTGAAGTCCCAATTAACAAATAGGGTATACTTAATAATTATAATTAGCCTTAAGTTTAAATGATTGGGCTAATCATTACCTTAAGCCATAGGATTATTTCTAACCCACAACTGTAATATTTTTGAAATAACATTATCGGGAATCACTGCAAAAGAACATAAAAAACAATCTGAAAAATACTGAAGTTGCTGTGAGTCCTCTAGGATGTCATATGAGAATGACTTCAGATATGTCCATTTATTTTTAAAGCCACTAATTATATGCTAATCAATTAAGTTATAGTACATTTCAACAGAATTACAGACTGTATCAGGAAAATAGCATGTTTTTATGAAGTGGAACAAAAAGGTCATTGTGCAGATTAAGATTACGATTACAGACTAACAAGTTCCCACTAGAAAACAGTGTAAGAGATAAAAAAAACTTCGGTCGAACAGTGAAAACTTAAACGTTTGATCACAATACTGTGGATTCGTACCACCATTAATACCCGGATAAGTTAGTTAAGTTATGATTCAAAAATTACTGAATAAAATTTAAAAAATGTACTTACTTCAACATAATCCAGCAACTTGCTAATCTCGGATGGACTCATATTTTGTTGGGACAAATCCTTTGTGTAGTCTGAAACAGTTTGTATCGGCGGAGGTATTAAATCGACATTTGACTTTGTATGGACGGCAAAAGGACTAGAGGGTCTAAGAAGACAAACTAAACGAAGTACCCAACCTAAGCGATTGTAATGTTGATGTGCAAGAGTCTCATAAACAAGTGGCCCAGGAGAACCTAATTGAGCAATCATATATAAAGCTAAGGGACCGTAATAGCGTGTGTGTCGTAGTAGAAGCAATGGGTTGGTTAGACCGTTGGTTATCGATTCAGCGGTTTTTTCAAATGGAGTCCAAGCTAAATGGTTCACACGTTCATAAACACGATGGCATATTCGACTAAAATGTGGGTCATCTGGTTCGAATTGAACACATGTTCTGTCCAAAATATACAAAAATGAGCCTTGGTCCAAAAGTGCCTGATACGGAGAAATTAAATATAGAATAAGATGATAAAATCATGGGACATCCACTACCAGAAAAGTTATGTTTAGTTTTACAAAATAAACTTGTGCGTACAACTATCTCATCTGTTTCCATCAGTACAACCCTGAAAGTGTGAATGATTTGGTGGATATCTTTAAAAAAGGATCTTAGTGGTCTAAATACTTCATATTGTAGTTCTTTTTCCCTCTTTTTTGCATCTAAACACATAGACTGACTTGGACTTGAACTCCACTGCTATGATAGTTGACGTAACCGAATTGCATTGTTCCACTTCGCATGGTAATCTGTATTAGCACTAGTTTCCTAACTTATTAATAATTGTGGAATGGGTTTGGTTGAACAAAAATGAATCTCACACCTAGAGCAGACAGAATATAACCTCAAACAAAAACATCCGTCGGGCTACTACATACAACAAAAGCCTTGGAGTAATCGAACATAGACTACCTTAAGAGAGTCATAGTTACTCCCGCTGTTTACCCGCGCTCGGTTGAATTTCTTCACTTTGACATTCAGAGCACTGGACAGAAATCACATTGCGTCACAACCAATCAGTGGACATCGCAATGCTTTGTTTTAATTAGACAGTCGGATTCCCCTGGTCCATGCCAGTTCTAAGTTTGCCGTCGCGCGCCAGACCATGGAAGTACAGCCGCTTGACGCAACGTGGGACAAGTCCTCACGCGTTGCTAGCTGCATGACACTAACAGCTGAAACCGCCCACGATCGACCCGGGTCAGAGTCCAGTAACCTCACCATAACGCACACCGAAGCACACAAAACAGCAAAGAAACCAGCCCCCAACTGGAACGACACGTATCTGATCTCGGCCTGTCTGACTCGTCCCCCAGAGCCAATCCTTCTCCCGAAGTTACGGATCCCTTACCTGCATTGTTCAATTGCCAGAGGTTGTTCACCTTGGAGACCTGCTGCGGATATGGGTACGGCCTGCCACGAAAATTATACTGCCTCGCTCGGATTTTCAAGGGCCGACAAAGGCCAAGCCATTTTCGTGAAGAATTGGTGAAATAACCTGGTTGGCTGCCCAAAATGAAGTAAACAAGGGTGAGTTTGATCCATCTATCCCATAAATAAACCAGTAGTTAGTAGATTCACAGATGAGTACCATACTCTGGTCTGTTTACTCTGAGCTCCATTCTATTCTAATCCTCCTTCAAGAAAATCGCATGTAGTGACTAACAGTGACGCCAGATGAGTGAGAAACAAGGCCTTGCAAAAATTTTGAGTTTCAGGATGGGGAATTCACAACCAGCAAGATACTTTATGAAATTTTGCAAAATCTATGAGGCGATATAGGCTATATCGAAATTCTGAACCCCGCCTTAGTTATCAGTATCTCGTTTCAAAATAAAGTGTACCTCAAAGTCGATTAAAGTAACCTGTAGTTGGTCATAAAATTGTGATGATAATAACCGTCCTTTCCATTTTCGCATCACTATCACTTCTGAAGCGAAACTTTATGTGATTATTGACGTTTAAAGTGCTAAGAAGTAACATAAACGATAACTTACATCTAACTGCTCGTCTTCAAACATCATGGGAATAAACAACTTCCGACCAGACAAAGGAAAGTAAACTTGGTTAATACGATCACGTTCAGAAAGGTCTGCGTGTCTTAAGTTACCATTTGACTCTCTAACTACTATGAGACGGTTTTTTCTGTCACGCTTTAGTGTGGTATCTGTAAAAACTAGTTTGATATTTCCCGGAATAATCCCTTGAAGACCGCTATCTCGAGAAATGATTTGGCTATTTACAGAGGTTCTTGGGTTTAAAACAGGTGGCATCTGCAACTTTTGTTCCGTAAAAGCGGCAGTAAATTTTTTGACCTTGTGTAAAAGTTAGATAAATAATCCGAATCGTATTACTATATTTAGTTCGGCATCATTAAGAAGTTTAATACTTTCCTTCCCAGCTCTTCTATAGCGTCGTTGGTGAACTGTGTTTGAAT